CTGGCCTCCACTGACTCCAGGGTGGAGCTCTCCTGACTCACATGTGGGGCCCTGAACACATCCCAACACATTACATGAGGGATGTAAACAGGTGCACAATCAGGTGCTGGTCACCACCAAAGCATGGACCCAAGGATGCACCGGTATATTGGCCGCCGAAACGTATCGGCCGAAAATGGCACTTTTGGCTAAATGCCGAAAGTGCCATTTTTGTGCCGATACGTCAGCGCATCCCAGGTTTCTTTCCTCCCCGCTGGGCGCTGCTGTGTGCCAGCGGGGAGGAGAGAAAGTGACATCTAAAGTCAAAACTTTATTACATTGGGTTTTGCATAGAGTAGGGAAGCCAGCAACTTTTGTTTGTTTTTTTGCTGCCTCTCTCTGTTAAGGAGATTTAAACGTATCGGCCGAAAATGGCACTTTTGGCTAAATGCCGAAAGTGCCATTTTTGTGCCGATACGTCAGCGCATCCCAGGTTTCTTTCCTCCCCGCTGGGCGCTGCTGTGTGCCAGCGGGGAGGAGAGAAAGTGACATCTAAAGTCAAAACTTTATTACATTGGGTTTTGCATAGAGTAGGGAAGCCAGCAACTTTTGTTTGTTTTTTTGCTGCCTCTCTCTGTTAAGGAGATTTACTCTCTTCTTGTCCTGGTGACTGTTGTCCACCGGGGCTGAAAGTGAGCGAAGATCCAAGATTTTAAACAGTTACCAGTACAGGAATAGAGGGGAAATCTTCCACCATGTTCCAGTGACAATGTTTAAGGAGGAATTCACTCTCACCTTGAGAAGACTTCTTACTTCCTGTTGTATCTACAGAAGAGCAAGTGAAGAGAAATTCACCCAGTTGGACAGAAATGGCAAAACAAAAGCCTTACAGCTCTTCTAACCCTTTCCTACTCTATCCAGAAGTAAAACAAAAAAGGATTTGACTTTATATACACTTTAACATTGTTCATCCTCTGATATTGAAGCTGGTAACTTCTCGCCATGTTTTTTTAAAGAGAATTACATTTTTGTTTGTCTTCACAAAATGAAATAGACATGAGTTATTGTCATCAAACTATAGTCCTCTGACTTACATATACACCCCTTGAACTGGCTGCCAATCTGCAGCACCTGGAAGGTTGTAGAGACCAGGTAATAGTAATGGTTTATGTGATCTCTCTCATACTCGCCTCCAGGACTTCTCTAGAGTCTCTCCCATCATCTGGAACTCTTTACCCCAACCTGTCCGTCTATCTCCTACCCTGACTGTCTTTAGGCGTTCCCTGAAGACTCTTCTCTTCAGGGAAGCCTATCCCACCTCAACCTAACCACTGAACCATCACATTCTCAGACAATTCATCCCCACACAGCTACCTCCTCATGTATCATTTCCCCCTCCTCTTTCAGATTGTAAGCCCTCAGGGGCAGGGCCCTCCTCACCATCCTGTCTTGAATTGTATTGTAATTGTAATGTCTTCCTTACATTGTAAAGCGCTGCGCAAACTGTTGGTGCTATATAAATACTATGTAATAATAATAATAATAATAATGTAATAATAATAATTCTGCTCCATTGGGGAACATAGGGCCGAAGTAAGACTTCCACTGTTGACGGGTGTCCAGCTTTTGATTTGACCTGCAGCCAGGTCAGGTTCACGTCAACAGTCTTGATATCATCATATAGGCTTTGCCACGAGGAGCCTCTGGGTCTGCCTCTCCTGCGCTGTTCTTTGGGGATGCAAATCGAGCACCTGTCTACAGATTTCTCTCATCAACTACCATTAAAAAAATTGTAAAGCCGTTCTTTAGATTTGGCAGCTTTGTTTCCTAAAGGACTGTTTTTGCATTTCTCTAAGGATAACCGGTGTGCATTGGAAAAACGCGCGTTCAGAGGAGCTCCATGCAGCGATGCGGTAGGCCGTCAGGTAGGCTACGGGACAATTATGAAGCAGGTGAACAGTTCTCTGACAGGGCGGTTATGGAATGATGAGCAGAAGGCTCCTTTTTACAATTACAAGGTTTGTATGATTGCGCCATCGCTGTATTTTGTTTTCCATTACGATCACTGAGGCACATTATTTTAAATGTTTACCAGGACAAAAATGGGGAAACCCATCAAGTGTGGTACGATGACCCAGAGAGTATAAGACTGAAGGCAGCCTACATCAAGAAGCTCGGCCTCCGAGGGATCGGGATGTGGAATGGAGACCTTTTGGATTATTCTGATGATCCTGTAGCCCAGGAGCAAACCAAGGAGATGTGGAAAGCGTTAATACCATAACTGCTGCTGGCCGTTTGACACCTCTAGCCCAGGAAGTGGTTTGTTACAAGGTGGTATATCCTAGAGCAGGGGTAGGCAAACTTCAGCCCTCCAGCTGCGGTGGAACTAAAAATCCCATCATGCATCTGCTTCTGGGAGTCATGCCTGTGGATGTCAGAGTCTTGCAATGCCTAATGGGATTTGTAGTTGTACCACAACTTGTCGGCTGGCGTTTGCCTACCCGTCTTAGATGATTCTTAAGAACAATCTTTGTCTTGTCTAGCTAGCCTGGAAATCGACTAAATTGCTGATAAATGGTTGATTTTGCTATGTTTATATCACTAAAGATATTTTTTTAAATATAAAATATTTGATTTTTGTTATTGTTTTAAGGTTTGTTTATTTATATCTTTCAGTTATTTATGGTTCTAGTAACTAGTAGTCGTAATATACATAAAGTAAGATGAACACCAATATCCTAAAAAAAGTGAATATTGGTGCAAAAACTGAGAATGACAATTTACTCAAAGCCTAAGTAGACTATTGCCATTTCAGGGCAAAAAGAAGATTTCCAACATTCTTCTAGTAGACTTCTGAAAGATACAGTAATTATTATTGGGAAAATATTTCCTCAATGCAAATAAAGTATATCAAAACCAAACAAAACATTTTATATAGTATAGGTGACCAGTCCGTAGGAAACCTATACAAGCCCAAGGAGAACACGCAAACCAGACAGGGTCCTGGATAACCAGTCCTGGACCACACTAGAACAGATTAAAAAAAATGCACCAGCAGCGTGTGATACTATATCTTCTTCAATAAAACTTTATTATAAAATGATGCCTTATACTCACAAAAATGCTTGGCAAACATGCATATAACAGTCAATCCAAGCAGAGACCCACTTTATCCACTGGATTTCAAAATTGCATAATTGCTGAACCCATTCAGCAACATATAGTCACTGCCTCAACCATGTAACCTGGCTAATTCATTTCAAGGGCAAATGCTCGGAGTTGAGAAAGAGGGTATGCCCTCAAAACATGTAAGGCAGGATGCATGATTGAGGCAGTGTCTATATTTTGATGAACGCACTTAACAGATAGACCAGGGGTAGGCAACCTCGGCACTCCAGCTGTGCGGAAACCAAAGGCGACCCCCAGGCGGTATGTCATCTGGTGCAGCTGCTGGGTGTCACCCCGGGAGGCATCATTGCACACATGCATGATGATGTTGCGTGCATTTAAATTACATCTTGGTGATGGACGCTGGCAAAGAGAGGAGGGGACGTTCATCCGGTGGGTAAGGTATGCTGCCGGGTCCCCTCTACTCTCGTGCAGGTGTCTGCCTCTCGGACCATGACCGAGTGCCTGACATTTTTGAGGGGTTGACACCAAAATGACTGTGCCACATACCCTTTGTGACACCGCTGGCTGAAACTAGAAATCCCATCATGTCTTTGCCTCTAGGTGTCATGTCTAGGGCTGTCAGTCTTGCAATGCCTCATGGGCATTGTAGTTCCACAACAGTGGGAGTGTCAAGTTGCCTACACCTGAGTTAGACAATGTTGAAATCCAGTGTCCAAAGATTGACTGTTATATGCCCATTTTCCAAGCATTGTAGGGAGTATAAGAAATCATTTTATAATACATTTTATTGAAAATATCACACGGCGCACTTTCTATCGAGTTCTGACTATAATAATAAAATGATATACAAAAACTTTATACATTCCCTATAGATACACCCAAAAATGCTTTCCCAGAAAGCATAGCCAGAGCAATATCCCAGCGGGCTCCAGTGTTGTGTTTCAATCCTTCCACAAGGTACAAGTATATCTTCCCCCTAAAGCCTCCCACAGAGTCACTGATCCTCTGTATCTTGATGTGAGATCATTTAATTACGCATTGAAACGTATCTATTTTCTAGAAAATATTCTTTAATAAAACAAAAGAAAAAAAAATCCATCCTATTTATCACGTCAGTCCACATAATAAAAAAAAATGTTCTGCATATAAAGTCTGTGCCGCATCCATGGCACTGATTCAAGACCTGGGAAATAAAGTGTACAGCAAATGGTTAGAGTATGTCACCATATGACTGTCCATGTACTCGGTATGGATGGGACATCACACGGAATACAATGGTGGGTTGGATAATCCAGACTGGGCCTTCTTCTGGGCTAATTCAGCTTTTAGTACATCCAGATCCAAAGATGCTTGTTTCCTCATCTGGAATAGGAAAGGAAAAGAAAGAGGAGTGTTTTCTTTTATGAACAATCTGATTGCTGAGTCCCCACTAGGAAGATTCACTTACTAGCCTGGTGACCATTGTCTCTGGGGCAGGAAAAGAATGGGACTTTATCATTTTATAGTTGTCACCAGAATAGGAGTAGTGGGTAATTGTCCCGATGGTTACTCCTGTGGCGATGACTACAGTCAAATAAAAGGTTGCCCCTTACTCTGGTAATCCACATCCTGCTGTGTCTGCAGGGCAGGAAGTGAGAGGAAATATCCCCAATTAGGACTCACCAGTGGTAGGATCACTTTGCAGGACACAGTAGACTTACTGAGTCAGTGAGGGAGCAACACATACAAGAATTAGTACCAGCAACTGGTTTGCTATCGTGACATAAGCCCAGAAAAGGACCATTGAATAGCGCCATAATATTCAGGCACTCGTGGCTGTTTGAATACAACAAACAAAAGAATATGGACACCGGCACTCCAACGGCAGATAGAATACGTCTATTTATTGACATACATGCAAAAAAAAAGCATAACACACTTAGTGCGACGTTTCCGGGGTCATGTAGGATCCCCTTCATCAGGCAGAACAAGTGAAAAACTTGTTGCACTAGTGAAATGTTGCACAGTGTGTTTATGCTTTTTTGCATGTACTGTACGTCAATAAATAGACGTATTCTATCTGCCGCTGGAGTGCCGATGTCAATATTCTTTCATATCACAGAGACGGTGGCCATCCGTCGACTACCGTTGCACCCATTTTATCCTAATGGATGAGCGGTCAGGAGTGCAATGGGTACATTGACTGTTTGAATACAACAGCCGGCAGTGGAGAATCCTCCATCTATTGTGTTTTTAAATTGGTGGGGGAATCAAGTGATCTGTAGTTCAGCCCACATGCTGATGAGAAATGATATATGTGTATGGCTAGCTTTTGAGTGACAGAACTGTGCAAAGCCATAGAGCCCTAATTGTCTTGCAATGCAGACCCTCCCTCTCCTACTTTAGGCATTGCTGTAAAGGGGAATACAGGACACTAAAATAAAACAGCTTCAGGTACTTATACAAGCTGTTATGTAGTGAATATGCAACCGGATTAAATAATGCTTGGAGCTCATCTTTTACATATTCTGCCTGCAGACTTCTAGTTTCCATTGTGTGCTGGAGAATTTTTGTCATTCATATCACTTTCGGATAGTTTGCCAATGTAAAATGGATACCTTGATTTCAATGAGGAGCTTGATCCTGGCGTTCTCTAACTTGCGCTTCAGCTCATCAAGGTCATGCTGTTTGGTGGTTATCTTCATAATGATAGAGTTCTGGAGAAGTGTCACATTGAAGAAGATAAAGTTATTACTTTAAATAAAAAGTGAGTTAAAGGATCAGACCACACAGAACAGGTTTTCAGTTCTGGAAGGAGATGTGCAACTTTTAGACTCTTCCCAACTAGAGGGATAGTTTGGCCCTCTAGGTGGGAAGAGCCTAAAATATCATTTTTTTGCTCCTGGATTTGTCATGTACATTATGGTAGATGCAGCAAAAGGAGTAAGGCAACGTGGCATCACCATGACATGTCACCAAGAAAAGAGGTAAGGAGAAATTTTTCATTGGGGACTCTGGTTGCGGTGACAACTGTCTAAGAGGGAATTTCCCTTAATTCCCAGCAAACACTATACTAACAGTGCTAACTTTTTCCTACTCTACCCAAAGCTATAACAAAACAAAAAACCCACATTTTGGCTACCCCTAACATACAAAATCTGGCAGTAATCAGATACCTTGGAATCGGCGGCCAGCGTGGGGTGCTTGGCACGCTTCTTACTGTCGCGGGCTGCTAGCTGGCCTAGAAGCTTCTGGTAGTAAACCTCCAGGTCTTTTTTCAGTTTGTTTAGAGTCTCCTCCAAGGCAGACGTGACTTTCTTTGTCTCAAAATACTTCTTTTTCCAGGAGTCTCTTGCTAAAAGAAAATATACAAAAGAAACATACTGAGGATTTATGGAGGCTGTCATTACATATTTGCCCTTCTTGAAATACTGGTTCCTTGACTGGCGTAGTGACCCATTGTCTTCAGTACTTTCTAAGTGACTGACCCAGAAGCTGCAGGCAGATCAAGAGCTCTGATTTTCCTGATCTGTATACTTGTTCTATGTCAGAGCTTTGGAAAGCTTTGGAAAGATGGCCAGGCAATTTACATTTTCAGAAGGAGGTTAGCAATGATAGCCTCCTATTTCTATAGGTGTCCTTTAAAAGGAAGCATCTTATTAAAATTGTCATAATTGATGGATAAGGGCAGTGTCAGACAGGTAGTTTCAGTGCCACATTTGTTTCATTAGACAATGTTGAGGCTAAATTGATACCAAGATGTTAAATAGTGGTCAGGAATTAGAAAACCTTCTTATCACTCTTTTCATGGACTAGACAGAGGTCTTTTGGCAATGAATGGTGGGCTCTGTGGTACCCCACAAACATCCATAATCAATCAGCATGATTGAGCATCATTAACTAAGACTAACCTTCCAGAGAATGTTTTGCTGCTGTTTTATTTGTTCCATCATAAATGTGTCTCTGTGCATAAGGCAGGTCTATAAAAAAAATGGTTTGATGTCTTGGTGTGGAGGAATTTGAGTCACCTACACACAGCCCTTATCTAATCCATACTGAACACCTTTGGGATCACCTGGAACATCTATTGCGAGCCAGGTCTTCTTATACAACATCAGTACCCAGCCGCCCCAAGGCCAGGTTCCGCAATGCACCCCCCTCCCCAGCCAACCAATTTATTTATTTTTTCATTCAAGAAGATTTGTATTTTGTTTTACAATTCACTGCAAGTTTCAAGTACAAAAGAAGCATACAGTTACACGTGTTGGTATGACAGTAATACTAGGAAGCCCCGTCTTCAACTATACTCTCCGTACTTCCCGGGGGGCACTATACAGTGATTGTGTGTCTAACAGTTGCCAATAAACATTTATGAACTATTGAACTAGTACAGTTAGCGAACATCATATGTGCTGGGTTTACCAGAGGAGAGTGTTGACAAATGTAGGGGGTCGTGTACTTCCCGTACACCACCCTCGCCTCTTATTATTTTTTTAATTTTTATACATTTTTTTTCACTTAACTTTATTGCTATCACACAGTAGCTAGCTAACAAGCCCATGTGTGATAGCCTTTGGAGGTGACAGGTTCTCTTTATTGACCCTGTCACCTCCAATACAGGTGTTCTAGCACAGCACTGTGCTGGAACTCCTGTGACAGCTGAGATGGGAATAGCACAGCTCTCCCCTCTCACTGTATACACGGAGGAGGACGGACAGGCTGCACATATTTTACATGTGATCATGTAAACGCAATCACATGTAAACGAACAAGGGCTTCCCCACACTACATTTAGTCCTGCCTTCTCAAAGCAGGACTAAATGTAGAAGGCAACTTACCGCCCGGCGCCCGGAACTTTATGTTCCGGGCGTCGGGGGATTCCACACCGTTGCCGCCCCTCTGCGCCCCGCCATCCCGAGGCCTGGCCTCAGTGGCCTTGTGGGGAATCCGGGCCTGTGAGTACCTGACCTCACAAATGCTCTTTTGGCCAAATGGGCACAAATTAATACAAACATACTCCAACAGCTTGAGCAAAGCCTTGGCAGGATAGTAGCTGGTATAGCCTCAAAGGGGTAATAGATCCCATATTAATGCTCATCGTTTTGAACTGGAGTCTCCGACAGGCACATCAAGGTCTCCAGAAACTTTTGGCCATATAGTGTATCTTTAGTTGTACGAAATGGTCTTCCTGAGGGCTCCCTGGGAACCTTGAAATCTTTAGCGCAACAGGTTATAGGGACTATCTTTCTGTGATGCAATGCAAGCGTCTCTGTGGCCGTTAGAGTTGCATTCATGGCCTTGTGAGATGCCACGGTCTGCTGTCTGAGCTCTAACATTGTGGTAGTTATCTGTCGGTAGCTATTGCTGTTTAGAACAGGTTCACTTTAAACCAGGATTACCTAATGTGATTTTATGACTCACCTAAAGAAAACAAACTCTTCCTGATTAAACCTATGGAGCACACTAATTGGTAATTTCATAAAGTGCTGCATTAGGTGATTGTTTGTTACTGGCGGCAAAGAATTGATTTTAATATATGCAAGGACACATCAAAAGCATTATATTGCAGATATAAAATGATTGCTGGAGATTTCATCTCTCAATTACATCACTGATAGCCCCATTTATGGCCATGCCCTTAGGATTTGCTCTTCCCAAGTGAGAACAACACTCAGCCCATTGGAGATGATCCTTGAGCCAATCAGTACCGACTGGTACCTCGCTGACGTCTGAGTTTTTGTTGCTCCAGCAATGCTTTGGTTCTCTTTATCAGTTCCTCCCGCAATTTCTCCAGCTGGATCCGCTCTGCCCTTTCCCGGTTTAGCTGCTCCAGGACCGTTCCATCTATATGATGAAAGAGAGAACAAATCTAACGTTAGCAAGATTGTGTCTGCATTATGCTGATGTACTATCAGATCTATGACCAAAGACTGCACCAAAAGAACAGCTATCAATATTTCCTTATACTATACGAATGGAAGATGTAATATAGGCATATCCCTAATGCAGACTGCGCCAAAATAGCAGGCTGAGAAAGCTCTAAAGAGATATGATATATAAAATTGTATTTACATCCTCAACGGACTTCTTTTATACAATCTAGTATCATATAAGGTTCTCCTATCACAGTAGCTGTGCTTAGTTCACATGCTGCAAAACTTATTGCACATCCAAAATTGCAGTATACTCTGAGTGCTGCATGTGCAACCCTCCCTGGATCTCACCTTAATCATTGCCTATGCAGACTTTGTACAAGCTTCATCTATGAATAAACTGCAGAGCATGACTGCAAGTAAATGTCCATGGTATATGAAGTACACCAGCCCACATATGGGTACATGACTCAGCTTGAAAAAGCCCAGGTCCAGGAAGCAATGGTGGCTGTGTATAGTTACCACTACAAATTAAGTACAGTAGTTGGAGTCACTGGTGGAATGTGTACATGCTGACCTGAATGGGATCACACAGAAACATGAGTCTTTCCACCAAGTGGACAGTAGCCAGCACCTTCAGATCGCTCATTACTCCCGGTGCTGTCTATTTGGATAATCAAATGTTTTTGATAGGAAGATGCCGCATCAGTGGCCACACGAGCTGCTATGCAGTTAGTTCTGCCATTGCATATCAAAATATTTCTATAAGTCATATTGAGCTTTATTCACAACCATTTTCTAGATTAAATGTGACACGAAGATGACAAATATATACGTTTAAAAGCATATTCCATTAAAAATTTAGATTTTGGCTATGGGTAGAGCACGGTGGGTTGCCTGTAATATTGCATTCCTCTGGGCTCCCCTCAACAGTTAATATCCCGCAGAGTCTCAATATTTCTTCTGCAGACTCACCCACTTCCACTGTGTTGTATAATGACAAGTTAGGATTCAATGCTTACCACGTGCTGGCATCTGGGATTTTGGTGGCTCAATTGTTGGGAAATCTGGCAAAAGTGGTGGAGACGGAGGAGGCTTGTAATGTGTCGGCTCTGCTTGAGGTCTAAAAGAAGTACCACCAAACTGTAAAAACATATGATCAGATGTGGAAGATGTACAGGAAAAATACACTATAACAGATTAAAGCTAGCCAAACATGAAGAAGCTGGTTTCAATGATCTGATCCACTCTAAACTCAGGAGTTAAACCTTACAAATGCATTCAAGTACCAGTGGCTACTTTAAAACACACAGGGACCATGGGGAACAAACGTAGCCACCCTCCAGAAGGAAGGACAATGTTTTTTTTACCTGGTCATCCTTATTCCTTTGCTGACTGATCATATGATTTTCTGCT